TGCTGGGTCTCCCACTTCGATCTTCGTCGTGAACATTGGTTCGGCCATTTTGAAATCTTATGACCCACTGACGCACTCCACCTTCATTGATTATGTTGTCCCCATACACTTCACGAAGCTGCCAATAGATTTCTATCGGTTTACAGTTTTTTGCAGTCAGAAACCTTATTACTGAGCGCACCTCGCAGCTCGCGGGATTTTCAATTAACGCAGACATTTCAAACCGTCACAGTATCTGAACGGAGCACAGCACGAAACTCTCACTAGCACGGCTAGATGCAGACTGAGCTGCGCAACGCTCTGACCCCAAGATGGCCGCGCTAGCCCCGCCCCTAGCGGACACAGACGGAAACGTAATCTACTTCCTGGATGGCCCTCGTATTTGTAAAAGAAAGGATGTATTGCGAAAGCTTGTAAAATCTGAAAACGCAATTCTGCGATGAATTGTAGGTGTTTTGTTTTTCACCACTGTATTTTCTACAACGATGTTTTACAACTGCACATTTTTTGTTGAATAGCCTTATTTTAACGATGATTCTTTGTACCACTATGTTTTACAACTGTGCATTTTTTGTTGAATCACCTTATTTTAACGATGATTCTTTGTACCACTATGTTTTAGAACTGCCATGTTTTCTTTCTTTCCTGCCACGATGTTTTCGCGGTTTTCCGCATGTAAAACATGGATACAAGCCAACTTTGTAAAAAAAAAAAAAGGCCTACATGAAGACATCTCTTCCCTTCGTGGGATCTACTTCCCGTAGTGTGTTTTTCCGTAATCAAATAAACCAACCAAACTAATTTGAAGACAACAGCTTATATCGTTATGGTGCGCTAGAAGTGCAGAGAGACGGTATTTTCAAGTCTTAGATAATCATTGCTGCTTAATTACCAGTGCTTAAATTGCACCGGAGCCCACTGGAGATCGTCTCCGGTACATTTCAATTTTTAAGATAAATTACAATTTTAGCCGGAGCGCACCGGAGCCCTAAATACGATGAACTCCGGTACTTTTTTTTATAATATGAACCACAATTTAAAGGGAAAAAGTTTTAGAATTTCTAACGTTTTAATTTAACAATAAGCAGACTTTGCAATACTTTATTTCCCTAGAAATAAGAACTCATGAGAACGTCAGACGTTCAAGTAAAGTCCCCTCACTCACATGCGGAAACCTTTCCTTTTAAGTAGGGCAATAAATTTGGGCGAATTTGTTTAGGAACGTGTAAATTTCTCTCTAATGGCATCATATCTAGTGTATTGTCATCGATGCTTACAGTTAGTTATCCTCACAGGAAGGAAAATTTGTGTTCTTAAATGTGCGTTAAGTGACAGCGAGTACAATAAGAGTGTTTACTAAGATAAACTGCTCAAGCACGTCTTATACATCATCTTTCCACAGTATCCACTAATAGGGGTGGAAGCATAACCAGCAACTTTACATTCATCTTTAGGAGTCAGATTCAGGACTCATTTTACTCCCGACATACATCTGCTTGATGGCTATAATTGTATCAGCAGAGAGCTACGGTCAAAGAGAACGTTCTCTCTCACCAAGATTTCCCTCAATTTTTGTTTCCACCCACTCATACCCTCATTCTGTTTCGCCCTGGAATTTTCATCAAACTTTTAAGTATATTTAATTTTTGTGATGATAAAAGAACTTCCACCACCCCACTCCTATGATTACATCTTAAATTGGGCCGGAGCCCACCAAATCTCGGTTCCGGTGTTTCTTAGTTGTTGTAATAAATCATAATTCTAGCCGGAATGCAGCAGAGCCGTGAATAAGAAGGCTGCAGCACTTCTTTTATGTAATTGAATAACAATTTCAGTAGAAATTTTATCTCGAAAATTTTACTTTAACAATAAAATTACATTAAAAATCGCTTATTAAATTTCAGTTTATCTCTTTACATTTTATTTAATTACTTCAATCTTTAGTTATTTCAATAAATAAAAATTAATTATCTAATAATTATCAATTAAATTAATAATTAACAGGTTAATTATTAATTTAATTGATAATGATTAGATTATCAATATTAGTTAATTATCTAATAATTATTGATTAAATAACAATTTATAAACATAAATTAAATAGCTATTAATTAATTTGATAATAATTAACTATTTAATTTTAAAATTATTAATGAGTTTAATAGTAATTTTTTTTATTTATTTACTCTTGTTCCTTTTTGCTGACGGTCTTCCATAGGGCTCTGGCACTTCTTAGAAATTAAGCCCTGTTAATTACAGAAACTCTTCTGAAATAGTGCTAACATTTTAAGGTGTTCTAGAGATTATCAAAGGCTATTAGAATGCGAAGATGGTGGAATGCTAGCTTGAAAACAGAAAATGTAGCATAGGTTCAACACTGCATAGATCTTCTAGACCGATAGTCTCTTTGTGGGCACAGGATCGACAAAGCAGCTCAAAAAGTAGTTTTGACTCTTGAAGCTGCCTTTTGCCAGTATTGATTCTCTACAGATATCTTAAAATTAATAATTTAATCAAATTCCTTTCTATTTTGATTATATACTGCTCTAGTTATCTTTGGCTGCATTATGCAATGCTCGTAGCATACCAATGTCATTTCTATGGCACAGAAATGCTATTCCACTATTGACCATCATTTCTATGCCATAGAACTGTTACTCCACTGTTGACCATACCTAGCATCAATCGTATGTCTGTGTGAAGGTGACCTATTAATCATTATCAAAATTTCCTTTTATTCGATCACATATGATCTGCCATATATGCCAGCAACTAGTATCGTATTTTCTCCAATAATAATGCTGGCAACTAAATCGGTGCTGTGGTTATAATCTTAAAAGAAGAGCCTTATCAAAGTATTGTCGTCGTTTCAGCAATGGAATTTCGAGAGAACTGAGTTACTTTATAAATCAAAAGGCGGATATACAGTTCAATGTATAGAGCTGCGGATGGGAATGTGAAGGAAGCGCAGAAATTGTCAAGCTTTCCGATTAAACATATGTCAGATCATAAAATCCTTGAGTGATCGCAATTATCTTTGCAAAATGAGCTTCTTTGTCTGCGCCTTACAGAATACTGGCATCCAAGAAATGTCGGGACATGTTATGTGTTAGAGAAATTCTGCATGGGGTTAGAGATCATACTTGACACCTACACGTTATAAGCCATGTGTCGATTTTGATTTTTAGGTCCTTCCGCATACTGTAGTGCAACTAAAATTTGCTGCACATATCTAGTTCCTGATAAGTGCATGTAAGGGAATTGCCATAAATCTCGTGTGGCAACCAGTAATCTACACGTCTCCCGTCCACATTCGTGCCAGTGGCGTTTTTCAATAAATGCTTGCTTTAGAATCGTCTATAACCACTTGACTGGCATATATTTTTTGCCAGACTGATTGGATGAATATATAGTATTTTTAGTGAAGTCTTGCCGGAATTTACTGACTTCCAGAAAATATTGAAACATGTATGAAGTGCCTACATAATAGAGCACCACTTTATTTAAGCAGGGATGTGTGGATTATCTTGGATGCAACATTCCCAGAACAGTGAATTGGTCGGGATGGTTCCTCCACATTGTGGGATTGATTTCTTGATCTCTGGTGTTTGAACTTTTTCCTATTGAGTGATTCGAAAAGTCTTATCTGCGATAGACCCATTGATTCCATTGAGGACTTTGTTGGCAGGATTTCTGTTGTCGCTTCTGATGTTAAAGCAATGCCTGTTTTTTTTCGCCAACTTATACCGCTTAAGTCTGCATTCTTGTTGGCGGTTTCCCAACAAGAATTTTAGCAATTTTTGTAATTTATTCAACTTTTCCGTTTCTTCTAGGGCGTTCTTATGTGCGCTAAATTCTGTTGCTTTATTGCTATGCAACTTATTACTTTAATGCTTTATAACGTCTATTGCTTTATTGGTATGCAACTTATTACTTTAATGCATTGTAATGCCTATTGCTTTACTGCTTTTGCTTTGCCCATGTATTGTATGACATGGGGTGCTTAGATGTAATTTATCGCTTAATGTTTAGTTTTAAGAGTTTTAAATTACTCCATGCAAATGACTGATATATCATGAACTAGGAACTTTTCGCTCAGATTTTTTAAATCAAAGCATTAATTTTTTATTACTTCTATTTTTTAAGGCATATTATTCTCAAAATTCAAAATTACTTTTTGTAGCCAATACTTTGCCTAAGATGCTGCCGACTGATAGTGCATTAAATAAGAACATAAGCCACTGTCTTGCATTGATTTCTTTATAAGCATTGTGATCATCACTGCGGAATCAGCTTCACACCCTGAGAAGCGAACAAACACCAGGCTGCTTTTCGATATCTTGCTAGACATTTTCTGGAAAATTTTCATTTTCAGATCTTCTGCTGTACGATGTAAACCAAATTATCGTTAAAAATAATTTAAGGCAGATTATAAAATATGAAATTTTTTATGGGTGAATAATAAAATAACCGCGTGTTAAAAAAAATGTTGCAGTTAAGCCTGAAAGCAAGCATTATGCTATAATTATCATTTTGAATAATTTTCAGCCATATTAAAAGTTTACTCCCTGCATACATTTTTTTTTTTTTTTTAAAGTTCCATAGTAAGGATTTTTAAATTCCTTACTATGGAACAGTATTTCACAGAAGTAAGAGAAGTACTGTAATCCCGAAAAATTTTAGGTATTGTGTTTAACGGAAATATCCTTTTAGAGCGTTTCATAATCTAATTGGACGGTTTTTTTTTTTTTTTTTTTTTTTTGCCTGACGTCTGTATGTACTACATACGGAATAAAAAACTCTTTCCAAACTGGATTTCAGAGGGATTTTTTCCCGACGTTTTTACGTACGTACGTCATGTAACTCAAAAACATTAGTCGTAGAACTTTATATATGGAACTGCTATAACATTTAGTTATGCACATCTTTTTTATTACAACTCCAGTACCAAAAGTATATATATGTATACCACCCACTTACAAGGTTTTTAAAGTCCTTACCTGGTCTTTATTTTTGCAATCGTTGGTCATAGTCATATACTGCCAATTACAGATGTATTTTAAATGACGAAAATATTCACGTTTTGGTAATTGTAAACTTAAAAACTTTTTTTTTCTGTTTTGTTGTTGTTTTGGTCTTTAAAATATATATATATATATATATAAGAAGATTTATTCTTGTGCAACAGAAATTGACCGGGATGTTTAATTTCAAAATTTACAATTTTTGTTGTAATTTTCGACTTGCCTTGAGGAATCGGTTAAGTAAGTTAGAATAATTCGAGGAAATTAAGTTTAAATAAAGTGGCACAAAATATGTATATAATTTAATAGGCCATAAAAGAAGTCATGTAGTGTGGACATATTTTTTTTATTTTTTTTTTATTTTTAAGTATCTTGTTGCATGATTTCAAACACAGATTTGCTGTTGATGGAAATTTGGGTAAAAAGTAGATTATATGTTAATTTATCATATATACGGGCAAAGAATGAAACGGCAGAAGTAAAGGCAGTAGAGGTTTATTACCCCGGCAAACAGTTTTTTTTTTTTGTTTTTTGGTTTTGTACATTGAAAAATCCAGTCTGCATCAACACAATGGTGGGTAAATAAATTTAAGGTTTGTTTATAATACGCTTTTGTTGATGCACATTCGCGTTTCGTTCTGGTTCACCTCTTTTATTCCGAGTACGAAGTGGAAAGTAGGAAGGAAATGTGCGAAATCTCATTCTCCTTCCGCTCCAGTAAACCTAGCGATTTTTCTTGCTTTCTATTGCTGTTTGAGAAAAGTGTTTTATTTACTTATTTTTTTATGTAAAATAAAATAAAACTAATTATTTCTTTTCCCCTTTCTGATGTGTTGCTTCATCTTTTCTTTTGACTAGGCTCTTTTTTTTTTTTTTTAGCCCTATAAAGGTGTGTCTTGAAATGAAATTTGTCAGTTAAACGGCGTATCAATTTTCGAATTGGTACCACCAAATATTATCGCCCTTTATTATTTGTAAAGAAATTAAATAATGAAAAATCTGAATGTATGTATGTGGTAAGTTTCTCGCGATGTGAAAAAACGACGGTACCTAGAGCCATCAAATTTTGAATAAATAACATAGTCCTCCATTCAAACATGTGCACCTGGAAGCCCGAATTTTATATTTCATATTTTGTAAAATTTTAATGAATTTTTAAAAAAAGTGAAAAAAAATACAAAAATGTATGCCAACTTTTAATACTATATCGGGAATTCTAAACATATGCTGCTTTTAAAAGTTTTGTGATTTTGCGGTTAATATTCCGTAATCGGGGTGAGCTCCAAACTTGGCGAGAGTTTTTTTATTTGGCGCGGTTTTGATTTGGTTGTGGTTTCCTGCTGTATGTTTTCTAGTGGCAAACCTAGAGCTTTATTTCGGTAATTGTAAAAGTGCGAATTTAGTTTCAGGAATTTAAGAAAGAAAGTTGGAATGATAAAATTGCAGAGCTTGAGATGGATTGCGACTCCTTTTGGCGTTTCACAAAAATGCTAAAGCGCACAGACCAATAATGATAGACCAGTAGTGGCGAATGGAGTCACTGCTTACTTCTTACACTGACAAATGTCAAGTTTGCCAGTCACCTAAAGGAGCAGTTTACCCCCAACATGACACCTTGCAATAATCAGTTTGTTCAGAATGTTCACAACGAGGTTAATGAATGGCTCATAATTCCTACGGCACTCAACGCAAGTGGACTTGTGACTCCGAATGAAGTCACAAAAATGATTTCCAAATTAAATCTTAAGAAGGCCCCAGGAATAGACGGGGATTAATAACCTCATGATCAGAAATTTGCCCAAAAGTGGTAGTACAAGGCTCACTGGAATTTTTAACGCCTGCATTACGTTTTGTTACTTAACAGAAAGCTGGAAATATGCCAAGATAGTTTTGCTCCCCAAACCTGCAAAAGATATTACAAAAGCTGAAAATCACAGGCCGATTAGTCTGCTTTCTAACCTTGCTAATATATTCGAAAGAATCATTCTGAATAAGGTTCAGCCTTATTTACAGTTGCTACCTGATGAACAGTATGGTTTCAGGAGTGAATTATCCACTGCAAAACAACTCATCAGACTAGTAGAATTTATAATCTTGGCGTTATATCACAAGAGCTGCACTGCATTACTCAATGTTGAACGTGGCCAAAGCATTTGACCGCGTCTGGCATGAGGGTTTAATCTATAAACTGATTAAAATGAACTTATCTGGAAAGTTAATTCTGATCACTCACTTCTACATTACCAAGAGATATTTCACAGTGAGCTGCAGGCAAAATCACTCAGGTTACAAGGCTATTTCAGCTGGAAAGTCCTGTCCTGTCCTCTATCTGTTCTGCGCGGCGGACTTCCCAAGGACCAAATTCAATAGAAATAACACTGTTGGCCTGCTACGCGGACGATACCGCGATCGCAGTCAAGTCCATCAATCCAAATAGAACCATTGGCGTTCTTCAAGATATTGTGTTTCATATTGAGGAATGGTGTTCTAACTAGAGAATTTCCATTAACGCTGCTAAGTCGCAACTGCTCATAGTATGCAGAAGGAAGTTGAAAATCACGGTTCAGTCACTCTACCTCTTCGGATAAAGAGTTCCACGTAAATAAGGCAAAGTATTTGGGCGTATACATCAATCAGCTACTTACTTGAAGCACCCACATAAGTTATATTGCAAATAAGACAAAAGGAGTAGCCTAGCAGCTAAATATCCTCCTTGGAAGGTGTTCAAATCTGGACTTAGGCAGAAAGAGGCAGATTTTCATTTCTGTACTGAGACTGATCATGTGCTATGCCTCTCCCGTTTGGGCGACAGCTAAAAGCAATGAAATTCAGAAGTTGCAAGTTACGCAAAATAAGATATTGCGTACTATTACCCACGCACATTTCTACATCAGAAACAAGCTCTTGCACGACGACCTGCAAATAGAGTACATAGATAAATACCTGCACAGGCTTAATAGCAAATTCTTTGACAAAGGTGTAAATTGCACTACAGGAGAATTCAACGCTTCTCTGAACTACATGTGTATTCCAGAGGATGTCAACGTAAGACCATTTCACTGCACATCGCATGAAAGACCATAATTTTGTCACCTAGGCACTTACTTAATTGTACATCTCATTGTAAATACCATGCATTAACATTTTCACCTTAATTTTATTGTTTTATCGCATTTATTCTCATTGACATTACTTTTCTCTGTAGTTATACATTAGTATATTCAATGAATTTAAAGCTCACTTGTCTACCAAGGGAGTGTTATGTGTCGATGATTTGACTTGCGTTACATGGCCGATTGGCCGGCCCTCTTTCCTCCCTTTCTCCGACTTCAGGGCTGGGATATTTTTCGTTCACAGTTTATAATCTGATCGCCTTAGGGATTAGTTGAGCCCTAGCTTATAAAAGCCAGTAGGCCTACATAAGCATAAGAAAGTCGCATTCAAGCGAATTTATTGTAGCCAGAAGATTTTTTTTTTAAATTTAATTTTGAAATACTGTGTTTGTTTTTAAAAGTTTTACTGTTTAATATTATATATATACGTATATATATGTTTAATATTTATATAAATATTTGCAGAAGGTTAAGCTGTTGTTGGTGAGAGAATGTTGGATTTCAGATGTGAAGTTTATAATTTATGAATGTTTTCATTTTATTTTATTTAGTTAATTATTTTTTTAATAGTTTGTTTCTTGCCTGTGGCAATCGAAAGATGTGGAATAATATTTAAAGTTTTGAACGAAAGTTGTTTAGTGTGTTGAATTCCACGACGATAGTAACTTGAATATTTTAGTGAGTTTATGATGCTGAAAACGCTTAATTTGCTATTCTGTTTACGTTTAAAACTCTTCGCAGTGCTCTGATCTGATAAGTGTATATATTTATTTACTCAATAATTATTTATAAGAATTGTTCATTCTACTATTTTATGATGAATTACATATATAGGACTATGTTTTTGCTTGCAAAGCTGTTGGACTTTGTTTTACTCTAGTATTTTATTTTATCATTTCATTTTACTATTCTGTTTACATAAAATAACGGAGTTTCACTACTGCAAAACTTAGAAGTTACTATTCTGTGTACGTTTAAAAATCACATCTTGGTGCTGTCATTGCCGCCTAAAAAATTCGCCAAATTTTGAAGGCCGAAACGGTTTAGCGCTAACTTACCCGGTTATGGAATATTAGCCGATTTGGTTGGTAAGTGTGAAAAAAATGACGCTTAATAATAAAGCTAAAGAGATAAAAAATTAGGGTAATAAGGAGTTAGTGCCACAGCAGATTGGTAGACTGCGAGCTCAGCGAGAGTGTAAAAAACCTTAACAAAATTTTTCGAGCTATAATCTGAAGCCTTTCAGATATTTTATTTATTTTAAATTTATTTTTATCTCGTTTCTTTAGATTTCTCTAAGATGTAAGCGTATCCTCCTGAATACGAATTCAGAAACTTCCTAAGAAAGAAAGTGACATGCTCCTACTATTCCGGTCGAGGCTTTTAAAAATTAGTGTCTAACTAAAGCGAATGTTATTACAATATGAAAACTATATCTCGTTAACATACACATGCATAGAATCCCTCCCCACTCTTCCCAGTTGAATGCGGTGTATTCGTGCGATGAACTGTAAACATGTTATAAGTAATTGAGGTAGTTTTAGATTCACTTGCAAGGCCGAAGATTTGGGATTTTGATGTTCGGTTGAAGTGGTTTTTGTTAAAATAAAGTATGTTATTGAACTAGAAAATTTGAGTTTTTTTTTTTAATCTTAAAATCTGTGCTTTGTATCTTAGTAAATTCTTTAAGATGGAATACAGGTATTAGAACTGTTTAAAGAAGAGAGGCTGTTATTAGATCCTTTCAATAGGAACTTGACTGGTATGTACCATACGTATAGGAAAAACCGTGAAAGCGTAATGCAGTCAGTCTGTTTTCTCACAATCTAAACGCCGGCTGGAACCACCAGTTCTGTTGTGCGCAGTTTTATTTATTTTAAATTTATTTTTATC